GTAATTGACATATTTCTGTTGAACGTGTTTTTTATAGAGACTGGTGTGTCTTAAAAAAGTCCGTTAGAGTCTTAGCAGAGGTAACGTTAGCATTAGGCTAGCTATTGTTTATAAAAGTGTTGGCTTTTAATTACATTTTATGTGTAGATGAGAGGTTTCACAATGTTTTATTGGAGGTAGTTTACTTTATTTAGCCTAAAATAAGCACTGTACTGTCGACAAGAGCGAATTAAAATGTTAAAGTTAGTACATATGTGTTACTTTGATATTTCACAGTAATGTAAACTAATATCAATTTTAAAAAGTGCTCTGTGGTTTCAGAAGTGACAAAATTACCCCTACAACAGAAGAGAAGAGCCAAGATGAAGGGAGCTAATCACTGAGCTGGAGGAAACACAGGTAAGACTATAATTAACTGTTAAATAGATTAATGTGCATTTTTTTATAAGAAATCCCTACATTATCATGCAACTAATACATGTCTTGATTGCAGTTATTTTAAAGTTTTGACATCCAAACATAAGTGAGTGGTTTTAAAAATGTTTTACATTGCTTTTCTCAAAGCTGAATTTACAGCGTCAGTGCTCCAGTCCAAAATGTAATATTGTATTCATAATTTGCTGCTGATCAAGCACAATTTCTTATTTTTATCATGTTTTGTTATTTCAGGATTCATTGATGAATAGGAAGTTTATATTGAAAAGTATTTGAATCAGAAATCTTAACTCTCTTCTGATCAGTTTTATGCACCCTTGTTTAATACAAGTATCTATTTCTTAAAATGTGTTAGTAATATATATATTTTTATTACTTCTTTCTAGATTTTGGATCGTCCTCCACTCACTCTACCACTTTGTTTTTCCTTGCCAGACTTCATTCAAGGTAAGTAATATTATAGTGTCACTTAAAAGTACTCCCAATGATTAATTTTATTAATGTTAATATTAATATCAACTGCATCAAACAAATTAGCCTATTAGAATGATTTCTGAAGGGTCATCTGACACTGGAGTAATGATGCTAACAAATCAGCTTTGACCTCACATTAATAAAATACATGGTCACATTTTATTTTGATGGTCTGTTTTTTGAATTTAAGGTGCATTGCATCTACATGCCAACTAATTCTCATTAGATTATAAGTAGACTGTTAGGGTTGCGGTTAGGGTTGGTGTAAGTTGACATGTACTTGGTAAGTTTCTTAAAGTCAGTTAATGTCTGTTGAAGGAGCAGAATCAAGAGATATTAAGCAGACAGTCTATTAATACTCAAATGGACCATCAAAATAAAGTGTTACCAAATATATTTTAAAATGTATTGAAAATAAAAATCCTTATTTTAAACTTTAAAAATATTTCAGTGTTACTTTTAAAGTGTAAATTAATGTTATCGATCAAATCAATGCAGTCTTGATGTCCAATAAAAAGACAATAAAAAATACAAACATTAATGTCAATAATGATCTAGTTACTGATGATGGACAAAAATGATGACTGATGATTCTGTTATTTCAGGATAAGAAAGAAGCCTGCTACAAGAGAAACAGCGGAAGGGAGCCTCCAAGACATTTTTATTAGGATCTGCTAATCATGAGGGGGCAGACAAAAGAACCTGCATTTTCCTTCAGCTTAATATCAGGGGTCGCCACAGCGTAAGGAACTGGATATTACTTTGGCATATGTTTTACACAGCGGATGGCCTTCCAGCTGCAACCCAGCACAGTGAAACACCCATACACTCTCGTATTCACAGACACTTCTACACTATATTCAAATTTACCTATAGCACAAGTGTTTGGACTGTGGTGGAAACCCACACCAAAACAGGGAGAACATGCAAACTCCACACAGAAACGCCAGCAGACCCAACCGGGACTCATACCAGCAACCTTTTTGCTGTGAGGTGACAGTCTGAGCCACTGGGCTGCCCCAGTGTAGTTATTAATAACCTGCAGATGTTTTACTGTTTGATTTTGTAATAATAATGCACATTTAGATTTATTGTAATATGTATTTTAAAATTTATTCACAATGTAATTTATTTTTATGTTATTTATAATAACGTTAAATGTCATAAGAAAGTTATAATTTAATATAATATTATAATAAATAATTATAATAATGTTAAAATATAAATAATACAAATTTATTTATAATGTTTTTAAGTTTATTTTTTTAATGAGAAGTCTCAAAGTCTTCAAAGTTGTCTTTATTATAGAAAACTCATTGTTGAATGGCTACCACTTTACAATAAGGTTGTATGTATTAGTTAATGTATTTACTAACATATTAAACAATACATTTATTACAGTATTCATCTTTGCTAATGTTGGTAAATGGTAAAAGTTGTTAATTGTTTATTCATGTTAACTCGCAATGTATTAACTAATGTTAACAAGCATGACTGCTTTTATTAATGCATTAGTAAATGCTGTACATAAATTATGCTGTACAGGTATTGTTCATATTAGTTCATATTTAAACCATTAACATTACTTATAACATTACTTATAAAACTACTGTAAAATGTAACTGTTGTATGTATGTTGTTATATTATATTTGTATGTATTTTATATGTATTTATTTATTTTGTTATATTTGTTAACGTATGTGATTTCGAAACATTTGATTATAATCTAAGTGTTTAATGTATGTTCGTTATGCAGTATTATAAATAAATGTTATAATGATTAAGTATTTTGTACTTGATTTCATTATTGGACATATTTATATCGAATACAATTGTAAAGGCTAATATAATATTCAAAAATGACATGTGGACCGACCGTGGGCCGCCAGCGGACACTTATTTAAAACCAGCGGTCCGATGGCGGACCACCGTCGGAAAAGCGGCGGCAGCCGCTGGTGGGCCGCTGGAATAACGATGAGCAAATTGACGGTGGACCGCGGGCGGCGCCCGCCGGTGGACCGCCGACTTTGCCGCCGGCGGGCCGCCAGTGGCCCGCTGGTCTTATGTTAGCTGGGATCCAAAGAGAGGTTATCAAGAAACGTCAGAATGAAAGGCTAAACTAAATATTCACAAGCTTTCGATATTACCAGTTTTTTTCTTTTCTTTTTTGCAAAAACATATTGGGTTAGTCATTTAAATAGTTACAATGTACAATAATAATATATTAATAAATATGGGAAATATGTAACATGACTTATACAATCTATGTGCTTCTTTTTGATGACCTTCTGTGCACCACAATTATGTTGTATTGCATTAATAATGACTATATTTCAAGTAGCCTATTATTGATATCACTTGTGTCTGTGCTACTTCTTTAATACAATTGTTACTAAATACATTTTTATTTACTATTACAATAAATGAGCAGCCATAATAACAGTTCATGTTAAAATATAACCTTAGTATTTGCAAACAGTTAGTGTGATTTCACCAAGCAGGACATGTTCCTTAATCAAAATCTGTTTATTCTGGAACAACATTCCAAACAACCAATCAGATTTAAGCGATACATTTACAGTTTATGTTGCTAGGCTTACTGTTAGGGTTATGTGCTTTTGGATCATTGTCAACCAGCTATCAAGCCACCCTGATTTAAGTAATAGTTTACAGTAGGGTTTGAATTTCGGGGTAGAGATGAGGTATAGATTATGTTTTTGAACAGGAATGATCCAGGATCAGCATAGATGTTGGCAAAATCACATACACAATTTTCATACATAGTAAAAAAATTTAAATGGTAGAAAATCAGATTGTTAAAAAGAAACATGTTCATTTAATTGTTACAAAATTTAGACAAAAGAATGCGACTGTCATGTATTTATGGATGTAAATCATCTTTATTTACAAAAACAGACAAAAAACTAAGGAAATAAAAAAAGAAACACATTGGAGGCCATGAGTGATTCATAAACTTCACTGGATCAGACAGTTTCAGCACCATTGTTTAAAAGTGAGCAACAAATAAAAGAAAGGTTATTACACAGTCAGTAGTCCATAAAGAAAATAAAAGACAGAAAAAGCCATTCTAAGTAGAATGGAATCTATGGAAGTGATATGATATATGATTGGTGTAATTACAGTTAAAATGATAATTTTTACGACAATTCATTACAGAGATAGAGGTGGTTTTCAAATAAATTGGTAGTTTAAGCTAGTATGTTTGAGGGGGAGGAGTGTAAGATAAAAATGTATCACACACACACACATACAGTACACACACACATACAGTGCACACACACACACACACACACACGCAGCTGATTGAGATCCAAAAGTTTACGTTCATATAATTATTAATCACCTGTTTCTAAATGGTCTGTCTCTAAAACTGAGGGGGCACATATCCCCCTGCCACCCCCACCCCCTAGTTGCTATGCCCCTGCACACACACACACACACACACACACACACACACACACACACACACACACACACACACACACACACACACACACACACATTGTTGCAGTTCACATAGCGCTTGCATTACAGTAAGTGTGCAAAACTACATAAAAAAACATTGATAAAGAAACAATCAGATATGTCGTGTTTTTGAAAAATCAAATGGCTTTTCTCATCTCATTCAAAACAAATACATTAGTTATCATGCAAATGTCAAAAAGACAATAAAATAGTGTGCTAAACATTTTAAAGCATGTATACTCATGTTGGATACCATCAATTAAGCAAATACATAAATACATTACAAAAACAATCCATTTTGTCAAATTTTGTTCAGTCTGTTTAAATGCAGTGTCGAATTGATTATTCTTACTACAATCTGCGAGAGTCATTGTGCAGTGTATCTTTATAGACACAGTACTCTGTCATTTAGCATTGCATATACCCACACAGTCTGTAGATATTGACTGATATTATTGGGATCTTTAAATGAGCTTTTTCAATAAGTCTTCTTTCTTTCCTGTGAGCACATACTTAAAAATTCAGACATTTTTTAAAAGTCAAACATTTGAATGTCAGTCCTTTCTTCTTTATTTTTCCTTCAAATTCTTACTTATTCTTGCTATTTACATTGGGTAAAGTAAAAACCCGGAGAAGGAGGAGTGGACAAATTGTCCTGCATAAAATCCAGCCGCCTGGTCAGATGGTAATTGTAAATAGACTGTGTCTCCTGGTTGTAAAGGAATCACAGCACTCCCAGATGCTTGATCAAGGAATCCCTTTTTGTACTCATCATATGTATACATAACCGGTTCTCCATTTCTGTAGAGCCCAACCCATACATTTGCACCCTTGCAGTGCACATGATATGCAAAATAGTAAACACCTGGGAGGTCACAGGTGAACACACCTGTCTGAGGGTTGTAATTCTGACGTCCATTGTACAATAGTTTGTCAAGCACTATTGGTGTGCCAACAGGAGGGAATGGTGCGGTGAGTTTGGCAGTGAAAGCAGGCATCTCCAGGCCGTTGGCACCCATCATATCACCCTCACCTGCATATTTCCCTTTCTTGTAGCCAGCTTTCACACCATCAAGGGCAGGACCCATTTCAGGAAGAACACCCATTAGATCAGGGGAAGGAGCGGGGCCTGGCGGTCCAGGAGGCCCTGGTGGACCTTGGATTCCTGGCTGACCTGGTGATCCATTTGGGCCTGGTGGACCTGGAGGACCAACTGGACCCTGGATTCCAGGGCTGCCTTCACCAGGTTGACCAGCTTGACCTGGTGGACCAACTTCTCCTTTTGGCCCGGGAGGTCCAGGTGGCCCAAGTAGTCCTCCTGGTCCTGCAAGTCCTGGAATGCCTGTGGGACCCCGTGGTCCTTCAGGACCAGGTGGACCAGTTTCTCCTTTAAGACCAGGTAGGCCAGATTGACCTGGGGGACCAGGTAGACCATTGCTGCCACCTTCTCCTTTGGGACCAATAGGTCCTTGCGGTCCTCTTGGCCCAGGTTCTCCATCTTCACCTGGTTGTCCTGGTTGGCCAGGAATTCCTGGAGGACCTGTTAGCCCAATAGGTCCTGGATCTCCCTTGGCACCTCCTGCACCTCCCTCTCCTTTAAGTCCAGGTGAACCAACTTCACCTGGTGCTCCTATTGGTCCTGAAGGGCCTGGAAGGCCAGTTTGACCAGGGGGACCCATCATGCCTGGTTGACCCATATGACCCTTTTCTCCTTTTGGTCCTTGAGGACCAGGAAGCCCTCCCATTCCTCTGTCACCCTTTGGGCCAGGATATCCAGGTTTTCCAAATCCAGGTAGCCCAGGTTTTCCAGGTAACCCTGGAGGTCCATGTAATCCTTTGTGGCCAGGTGTACCTGGCTGGCCCGGTAATCCTTTTTCTCCTGGACTTCCAATACCCGGTGCCCCTTGTGGACCCTGTGGGCCCTTTTCCCCAGGTGGACCCTCTGGGCCTGGCTCGCCAGGCTCTCCAGGTTTGCCTGGCACACCAGCTGGACCCGGTATGCCAGGAAGGCCAGTCTTACCCACCCCTGGCAATCCAGCTGGCCCTCGAAGTCCAGGTGGCCCAACTGGCCCTTTGGGTCCTTGTGGGCCCGGTAGTCCAATTCCTCTGTCTCCTTTAGGTCCAGGTAACCCTGGAAGACCAGGAAAACCTTTATGTCCTGGCTCTCCTTTATTCCCTGGCTGTCCTGGTAATCCTTGTCCACCAGGCTTTCCTATTCCTGGCAAGCCAGAGGGTCCTGGAGGGCCAGGGGGTCCAGCGATGCCTGGTTGTCCATCTTCACCTCTGGGTCCCTGTTCACCTGGTTGTCCAGGTTGCCCAGGATCTCCTGCTTTACCAGGCATACCTGACATTCCTGGCTTACCAATTCCAGGATATCCTGGAGGACCAGGAGGTCCTGGCTTTCCAGGAGGGCCTTGGATACCATTGCCTTGAGGCCCAGGAGGTCCTTGGGGCCCAGGAGGACCAACAGGCCCTTGAGCTCCAGGCTGACCTTGAACACCCTGCTCACCTCTGGGAATGGTCTCACCTATGCAAGAGACAAATTCAGGACAAGGTATAAAAATATATGTCATTAATGGAATTTAATGAAAACCAAATAAATTTACAAATTAGTAAAACAAATTTATAGGTAATAAATGTGTGCATTAGATACAGTAATGACTAAGTATATCCATACCTTGTTGTCCAATGTAAAATAATAACAAGCTAACAATATTAATGTATACTATATACAATGTGATAAGCGCTAATATATATAAGTGCTCATACCTTTGTTATCCTTGCCTTTGTTAAGGTGCATTGGTAGATCTTTTCTGTAGTGTGGATATGGCATGTGTGGCATTTCCTTTCCCATGCCCATGTGCATCTGTGGTAAGGGTTGATGTTGCTGAGGATGCGACTTGTGTGGATAATATCCACCTCCAAAAGCTAATGGCAAAAAAGTCAGTTGCACCAAAGCTACCAGGAAAGCAGCCATGGCCATGGCCTGTGAAAACAAAACAAAGAATTAAACAACCAATTAATAATCAGTAAGAAAATCTATTTATTATTTAATAAATAAAGTGATACATTGACAAGTGCCAATCAAAAAATTGACTGCTTATTAATAGCAAATCATGTAAATGAACCTCAATTTATCAAGGTTTAATACAAATAACTTACAACATTTAAATAAAGGACCTAAATGTAATGTACAGAACAATACTAACAGCTTCAATTAATTTTAATTACAGCACACTAAATCACATGATAAGAAATAAAAGTTACAACATTAAACTAGCAAAATGCTTATTGAGAGAATGTCATATGAGCACAGTGGTTGTGATTTTCTTTTTTCGCATTTACATTTAATCACATTTGTTGGTTACTTAAATTGACTGTAAAGGTTTAATTCAGTAACATGAGAAACAAAAGGTGAAGAATGCAATGACTACTGCTAAGGTATCAAGAAAATAAGTGTGTGTTGTAGGGTACAGTGGGATTTGAGAAAATCATGAATATTCATGAATTATGATGATTAATCTAAATTAATGTAATGAAAATGTCCAAACCTCGAAAACCAAGCAATTTAGCTTAAATTTTTGAATGTTGCTAAAAAACAGACTTCTATGAAAAACATTTATAATTCTTTACAAAATATATATTGAATTTGACTGAACAATATAACAATGAATTTGAGTGTTATCATCTCCTCATACCTACTTTAGATATCCCAATCGTCAATCCAAAAAATTATCTACACACTTAAATGAAATGTAACACTTAAACCTTTAAACTACCTTTCTTTTTACTAAAAGCATGTCAAAAACAGGAAGCAAGATGCCCTTTACTGGAATTTCACACTTCCAAAACTCTCCAGGGACGTTCTCAGTAACTAGAAAGAAATTTTCAGCAATTCACCTTTCACACTGCAGGAATCCCAGACAGCAAACAGTGCATTGTGCATGTGCATGTGTACATTGCTTTACTTTTACTCTTTTACTTTTTTTGATGTGGCTTGTCTTTTGTTAAATAACCAAATCCATGTTTTTTTTATACAGTACTTAATTAATTCATTCTACGGAACAAAAATACAGGCTATGAAGTAAATGAAGCAAGAATTGTATTAAGATGACGGAAATGACAGAGTTGACCTATGGCTTTTTCTCGGGCTGCTGAGAATCACACAGATATGCTATAGGCTTCTAAGCTTTCCACTCTTTGCAATGTAGAGATATATTTTCTGGCTGTAGACCAATCAGAACGTCATAAAAATATTTCACTTGATTTAGCATCATGTACTGCAATGCTAATAATAGCATCCACTACAAAACTAAAGCCTGTCAGCGGATTTGACAGCATTAATTAAATGTCATGGAAAAAGTCATAGAGTTTCATGTAATTTTAATATCTAAATTAGTTTTTAAATCAAATCACACATTCTCATATGTGACATTTTGTGAAATTTGTCAGTTCAGTCAGTCAGTTCGCAGAGATGTCATTTACTGATGAAAAATGTTAAATTCAGGGATCATACACTCCAAAAATTACATTTGCTATCATGGTGGGGATTTCAGTGAGTTAAAGTCATCTTAAAATTCTAGTGTTGAAAAAATGGGTCAATATAAAGACTAAAGCAGCTTTATATGAGCGTTTAGATTATAAATTATCTAATAGGGACGATGCAGGGGTCCCTTTATGTATCCCAGTGTGGGAAGACTTTTTTTTTATGTGACGATGCCTTCAAATACAATTTTACATTACTCACCAGGTACTTTTTATAATATTGTACTTTTGTCCTTAGTAACCACTGTATACATCCTGGCTTTACATTTAGTAGGCATACCAGTGATCATTTGTAATTTGTGTTTGTATTATTTTGTCATGAACCAAAATAGAACAATAAAAAACAGTGAATAAAAAAATTACATTTGCAGTTTGTTAAAACTATTTAATTAAAATCAGTTGAAACAACAAAATTCTTGAGTTTTTTTATACAAATTAATTGTTTTATGTTTAATCTACTTAAATTTGTAAAACAAAAAAATTGTTAATTTAATTCCTTCATGTAGTATCAACACAAAACTATTGTGTGGAACCCAACATTTCTTTTACAGTGTAGTCCAGTTACATCTTAAACACTTCAGACTTTTTAAATGACTTCATATTTCTACAATATGTCAAATGAAGTTTAATTTACCCACATTAAAATAGAGCAATCAGTATGTAAATCTTACAGGAAAATTTGTTTTATTATTAGTCAGGCATCACTGCAGTGACCAGAACAATTTATATAATAGCATAATATTGTTCATTCATTCATTCATTCATTCAATTATTTTCTTTTCGGTCAAGTCCCTTTATTAATCTGGTGTTGCCACAGCAGAATGAACCGCCAACTTATCCAGCACATGTTTTATGCAGCGGATGCCCTTCCAGCTGCAAACCATCTCTGGGAAACATCCATACACTCTCATACACTTTGGACAATTTAGCCTACCCAATTCACCTGTACCGCATGTCTTTGGGCTGTGGGGGAAACTGGAGCACCCAGAGAAAATCCAAACGAACACGGGGAGAACATGCAAACTCCACACAGAAATGCCCACTGACCCATCTGAGACTCAAACCAACAACCTTTTTGCTGTGAGGCGACAGCACTACCTACTGTGCCACTGCATTGCCCAGAATAATATTATACCACTTGATTTAAGATGAAATTACTCAGTGTCATTCAAAGGAAATCAGTATGGCTTTTAGAAAATGTATAATTTTATTCAGCAGTAGTTAGGCAAATTGATGAAAAAATGCCAATAAAAACATTTACAATGTTACATTTTGACACATTTATAAACTTCAAATAAATGTATGTCTGAATGTTCTATTCATCAAACAATACTGAAAGATATGTTGTCATATAAAAAATTGTTTTCGTTCATTCATGAATGAACCACCAACTTATCTAGCCCATGTTTTACACTGCGGATGCCCTTCCAGCTGCAACCCATGACTGGGAAACCGGAGCACCTGGAGAAAACCCATGCAAACATGGGAAGAACATGCAAACTCCACGCAACGCCAACTGACCCAGCCATGGCTAGAACCAGCAACCTTTTTGTTGTGAGGCGATTGTGCTACCCACTGCACCACCATGCTGCCCAAATAGTTTTCAACATTGATGGTAATAATAGATGTTTCATACACACCAAACAACATATTCAAACATTTTCTCAAATTTTTTTTTATCAAAATGCAGTAAAGTTGTTACAAATTTCAGCTTTACCACCACATAAATAAATATTTTAAAATAGAAAACAGCTATTTTAAATCGTGACACAATATTACTATGGCGACATGGTGGCTCGTGGTTAGCACCGTCACCTCACAGCAAGAAGGTTGCTGGTTTAAGTCCCGGTTTGGTCAGTTGGCATTTCTGTGTGGAGTTTACATGTTTTCCCCGTGTTTGTGAAAGCACTCCAGGTGGTCCGGTTTCCCCAACAGTCCAAAGACATGTGGTATAGGTGAACTGAATAAACTCAATTGGTCGTAGTGTATGTGTGTGAATGTGAAAGTGTATGTGGGTTTTCCAGTACAGGTTTGCAGCTGGAAGGACATCGCCTGTGTAAAACATATACTGGATACGTTGGCGGTTCATTCTGATTCCTGATGAATAAAGGTACTAAGGCAAAGGAAATTGAATGAATACTACCACACTGTAAAAAAATCCTGGTTGCCTTAAATTTTTATCCTGAATCAAATTATCCTTATGAGACTATTGAACTTATATATTGTGACTTATAACAGTTTGCGTAATTTATAAAATTAAGTTAGAACATGATTAACTCAGTTTATTAAGTTACAATGACCTAAAACATAAGCTGTCAGGACTAATTGATCACAGAATTTTTTACAGAGTACTTGTAATTATTATTTTTTTTGTCAAATGAATGCGTCTTTGGCAAACTGTAATACTATCATCGCCTTACACTACTATACAAAGCTCTTACATTTATAGTACTTTAATCTATCAGTTTAAGATTTGACAATAAGGATTACTTAGGTGGCTAAATTTATCCTAAACAGGACCTCTGACCCTAGTAAAAATGAAAGTCCTCCATGCTGTTTGTGAAATGCTCTCCTGGAATTTCAATGAATACATGAACGCCTCTGCAAATAAGTCTAGTTAAACACTCACATTCGGCCGCTCGCTGAGGAACCCAGATGGCCGACACAACTTAAAGCAATCCCTTCCTTGCTCTTGTCTGCTTATAGACCCTCATTCACCCTCGTCCTTTCTTTCGTTCGGTCTCTCACACCCTTTTTCTTCCATCTTTACAGAGCAGTGCATTGACAAAAGAAGCGCATAAATCATCAATGACAACACTTTTATTCGGGCTCTCGGTGGGAAGAGATGGAGGGGTGAATCCTAGTGCAAATCAAGGGAGGTTGTGATATAGTGACGTCAGTAGATTTCAGACTATCAGTTGAAGAAGTTGATTAATGTACAGTTAAAGTCCGAATTATTAGCCCCCCTCTGATTTTTTTTTTTTTTTAATTTCCCAAATGGTGTTTAACAGAGCGAGGACATTTTCACAGTATGTCTATTAATATGTTTTCCCTCTGGAGAAGCTCTTATTTGTTTTATTTCAGCAAAATGTTTCAAAAACCATTTTAAAGACAAAATTATTAGCCCCTTTAAGCTATATATTTTTTCTATAGTCCACAGAACAAACCATCGTTATACAATAACTTGCCTAAGTTCCCTAACCTGCCAAGTTAATTAGCCTAGTTAAGCCTTTAAATGTCACTTTAAGCTATATAGAAGTGTCTTGAAAAATATCTAGTCGAATATTATTTACTGTCATGATGGCAAAGATAAAATAAATCAATTAGAAATTGATTTATAAAACTATTATTACAAATGTGTTGAAAACAATATTCTTTCTATTAAACAGAAATTGGGAAAAAATAAACAGGGGCTAATAATTCTGACTATACTGTATATGTTGGTAAATAGTAAATAGAATTGTTTGTGGGTCATAGAATAGATGTTTCTCTTGTTTACATTTTGTATGTGATTTTATACACATAAAACGTATAATAAATTCAAGTGAAGGTATTAATTATGTAAATAAAATGATGGATGATAAAATAATGTTTCATTGTTAATAAGCATATTTATGTAAAAATGAAACAACATTCTGACCTGTACTTGATATATAAAATAACACATTTACAATGACAATTAATTACACTGTAAAAAGTGATTAGTTGACTCTACTTAAAAATGTGTTGTTTTTAAAAAGATTAGTTGACCTTACTTGAGTGAGAAAACTTGTTGTCTTGAACTGCACTCTAAAACAATGATTTTTGTTGCTTGTTCAAAGTACTTATTTAAAATGAGCTGAAACAACACAAACAACACAATTCTTGAGTTGTTTTCAAGACAACTTAATTGTTTTATGTTCAATCCACTTAAGTTTGTAAAAACAATAAAGCTAACAATCAATTTGTGTTGGGAGAACATAAAGGAATTGTGTGAAAGCCAGCTTTTTTTACAGTGTGTGTGCATAATTTAAAAAATGGGTTACGTTAACTTAACAGTTCTAAGCTAAAATGGGTTAACTTATTATTATTTTTATATAAAGTCAGCTTGACTTTTAAAGCAATGGGTTTACTCACTTTTTCAAGTAAAGTAACTAAGTCGTTTTTTGCAGTGCAGTGTAATTCTTCAGCGGTGAATGAATGTCATAAAATGATTCTTGATCTAAGTATGCTCAACATGGTTCTGTCTTCTGTAAATCGTAGTAAATATATTATTTTATTTGCTCAGAAAAAAAAAATAAATAAACAGGATACCTTCTACATCAGGAATAAAAGTAGCATTAAATCTGCTGCATTCAATTGTATACTCACTAATACTTAAAAAGACATTTAAATTGAATTAAACCCTTGTACATGAATTACCAATTTACTTTCTACATCTGAAATATAAGTACACTGTAAAATCCAAGAAGTTAAGGTAACTCGAAACTGATTGCTACAAACCATTTAGGTTCAAAAAGTAATCCTACTACATTTGAGTAAATGAAGCAATTTGAGCACAGTAAAACCCAATAAATGAAGAGAACTCAAACCTACAGAGTACTGTAAAACCCAATAAGTTAAGGCAACTCAAATCATTTGAGGAAACCGATTACAGCAAACCATTTGAGTTAAAAATTAATCTATATGAGTACTGTAAACTTACTTTATTTAAGTTGAAGTAAAAATATATTTAATTAACTCATTATCCTCAACACTGAGTTCAAAACTCTTTTCTGATGAGAAGAATTAACTTTCAATTTTGATTTAACTACACTCATTTCATTTGATAAAGTTGACTGTTGGGTTTTACAGTGTAGGATTAAATCTGCTGTATTACATATGTATAATCACTAATTCCTTAAAAACCCATTATAATTTACTTAAACCCTTATACATGAATTACTAAAAATTAAAATAACTTAAGAGGTATATGATGGCAAGTTTATATAAGAGATTAGAAATGAGCACAGTTATAAAAAGTTATTTGTTTTACAGCGCATGTTTCAATGTCAATGTCTTCTTTTATCTGTGTTCTGATGAGGCAGACAGCTTATTTTGTGCACTGGGAATCAGAGCTCCCAGCCCGTCTGTGAAATAAACAGGTCTCTCTTTTTTTTTGGATGTACAACAGGGTCTTCATTCTCTCTGAGCATCTGTTGGGTCATTTAGAAGCATTTTAACAGCTGAGTGTTAATAAGAGTGAGAAACACAGCGAGGATCTGCTAGCCTCAAACTGCATGTGTGTGTGTGGGGAGAGAGAGAGAGAGAGAGAGAGAGAGAGAGAGAGTGAGAGAGAGAGAGAGAGAGAGAGAGAGAGAGAGAGAATTAAAATAATTAGAAAGATGGAAAGAATCTGTCTATCTATCCACTGTATCTATTTTTATTTGGATTGACTGTTCCAGGAAGAATCTTTAGCATCTATTGTAGTAAAAAAATATTATACTTTATATATTACTGGAACATATTGTTATTCTGAGAATGTATGGTTCTTGGTGAAACTGTTCATCCATACATCCATTCGTCCATTCGTCCATCCATTCATCCATCCATTCGTCCATCCATTCGTCCATCCATTCGTCCATCCATCCATCCATGCATCCATCCATCTGTCTAATTTAGAAGATTATTGTATTTCAAAATGCTCAGCTATATTGAAACATTCAGTTTCACTTGTTATGAGATTCTTCATTATGCTGGATTGTTTTGATATTCTATTAAGCTGTTTTAAATCCTTTAAAGTCCTACATTAGGTAGACAAAGTTATATTCCTTAAAGATTTAAGTCTTTTACTGATTACAGATTACATAATGTCAACTGTAGTGAACAACATTCTGTTTTTCGTTTTATGTAAAATATTCTGACTATTTTTTTATTGCTTTAAGATGACTTTTCACCTGGGTTTAAATATATTTAATTATTTAAATTGTTGTTTTTGAAAGAATTGCAGTGAGATTTGAGTTGATAATAATTTGTTCAGTTCAAAAAAATTTATATATAAAAATATATTATTTATTAATATATCTATTCTAAAAAAATAAATCTAAATGTCAATTTGACAACTGGCTGAATTAATTGAGCCATGAACATGTAAATCTGTGATCAAATTCTTTAAACATTTCTCTAAAACTTTTTATTTTCTCTAGGGTACTGCATTTTGAACCCCAAAGACCTTCAGTAGACAAAAACTATTGAATGAATACATATCACTAAGCATTAAAACAGCAATGACATTCCACATTAATTCAGGCTTTAAAGTTTGTCCAGCCTTCCAGAATGGACAGTTAGTAAAAATCAATGGAGATTATGAAGACATAGTTTTTCATAATCATAGTGATTTATCACAAGTGTAGTAAAATGCATACTTATTTGTTTTTGCTCTTTTTAATTTGAAAATCCTGTTGAAACTGGGATTGTTTTACATGACATTAACATGGCTATTCAATATTTGGTATACAGTAAAAACAAAATGATGAAAATTGTATATTATATTATAATTATATTATAACAAGTACTTTTTGGGATTTGACTGCTTGACACACATGCAAGAGCACTAAAAAAATGAAAGCAAGGAACATTTAAGAAAACCAACTAACCTAGCAAGTTCTTTGCATTGTCTTGTGTACTATAATATCCAAATGCTAGTGAGAAGAAGAGAAATAAAAAATATATATTAATATCAGTCTGCATATGCAGGGGCAGATTTAACCAGTAAGCAAGGTAAGCAGCCACTTAGGCCCCCAGGAAATCTAAGGGCCCCAAAAAATCTGAGGACCCCCAAATAAATACCTAGAAGTCAAGATTATACATAAAAAGTATATATAACATTGCTTCCTATCATATTTGCACGGTGAGGGTCTAAAAATGTTAATTTGAATGTAATTATTACATCTGCACAAATGTGCCCCCACTCTAAAACTTGGACCCTTACAGCAGCCAAATCAGAAAAGATTTAGTTTTAAAAATGAAATAGCTTATTTATTATTTTTAGTTAAATTCATTTAAAGATAGCAAATCAATTCAAAAGATTTACAAGATGCTTTACATGTTATTATTATCATTATTTTGCATTAAGATAAATGTAGAAAAGGAGATTGAGTAATATAAGAAAAGAAAACAGCAAAATATATAAAAAATAAAGTAGAAAAGGTGCATTTTAAAACTTTTGGGGCCCATGGCTGGAATTGCTAACAGAACCTTAAATCACTAAACCTGTCCCTGTGTATATGTGATGGACATTGGTTATGAAGGCTCATTTGAGAGCCTCTTAAGTAAAATACCCTCCTATTTACAAAAAGACCTGATCCGGAAGCAAATCACCCTTTTTTACGGAACATAGAAGTCCTCATCATGACAGAATTTAAGACACAACGCTACATCATTTTTAAATACCAATTCTGACAGGTCAGCACATTTAAGTGGTCTAACATTAGCTTATTAATGAAACTACTAACAGAAGCATGCTACAACTAAATAACCCAAATATGCCCGGTTGCTATTTGCTCATTTCCGCAACTCAAAAGTCTCACTTGCAAAGCTAAACTGATTGACTGACAGCCACACTGTTTATTTCCACACATGAATGTTAAAACAAAGACAGCCTGCCTTCACAAGTCTCGTCTCATTGTGCCTCTAATGGACGTCTGCTTTATATTCCTCTCACAACTTAGAGTTAAACTAACAGTTCACAATCAGATACACACTAGCTCAATCACACACGCATGCAAAGACACCATATGGTCGCCACCAGGAGGGGGAGCTAACACTTTATCACAGAAAATTGCCCACAAAACTTCTTTAAGCAGAAGTATGCATCAGAAAATCTGAATATACTCTAAAGTTTTCTGTATACACATTCATAAATGCACAACATAAACCCCTCATAAATAATCAAACATGCTAAACATTGCCTTACACACACACACACACATACACACACATGGCAATTTCTGTTCATTCATCACTCCCACTTGCAGACACTCAGATAAGAAACCCACAAACATTGTGATGAATGAAATGATAAAGTGTATTAAAGTGTATCTCCTTACCTTTCCTCTGAACGGCCGTAGGAGAAGATAATCTCAAGGATTGGTGGGCTCACTCTCAGAAAGACCCCGAAAACACACACCTTGACCGACTGACCAATGCAAACTGGACATAAACAGGCAGAAGACTCCTGACGACCACCTTTTATCCACAGCAGGGCGGAGCCAGAGAGCAAGGGAGGGAGAACACAGGCATGCACACACTCACAGAGAGAAAGAGAGAGAGAGAGACTAGCACAGCATATAGAAGAACATTCAACAGTATAAAGGTACAGTGTTTTCAGAGTGGATACGATACCAAGATTTGTTTGATTTTCCAAACCACTGTCTAGTGATGGCAGTTGTGGTACAAGATGTCTAAGAGCTTTCCTGTTTACTGATTAGTCACCGTATTCTCAACTGAGGTAGAACTGCACTGTTAGGGTCACAGCTGGAATTTTATAAGATCAATGACGCAAAATGTGAAAAAAACATTCCTCTTAGGGAAAGTTTGCGTGTATTGGCCAAAATAATCCACAAAAATGAACTGAAGTTTTTTCTTACTGAAGTTGTTTATTACTGTTCTATAATATAAAATATAGTACAATGTAATATAAAATAATGTAATATAATAAAATAAAATATAATATAATATATTGTAATGTAATGTAATATAATATAATATAATATAATATAATGTAATGTAATGTAATATAATATAATATAATATAATATATTGTAATGTAATGTAATGTAATATAATATAATATAATATAACATATTATAATATAATATAATATAATATAATATAATATAATATAATATAATATAATATAATATAATGTAATGTAATGTAATGTAATGTAATGTAATGTAATATAATATATTGTAATGTAATGTAATGTAATATTATATAATGTAATATAATATAATGTAATGTAATGTAATATAATATAATATAATATAATATAATATAATATAATATAATATAATATAATATACTATAATATAATATAATATCATAAAATCTAATCTAATATAATCTAATATACTATAATATAATACAATATAATATAATATAATATAATATAATATAATATAATATAATATAATATAATATAATATAATGTAATAAAATCTAAAATAATATAATGTAACGTAATGTAATATAATATAATATAATATAATACAATATATTATAAAATGTAATCTAATATAATATAATCTAATATAATATAATATAATATAATATAATATAATATAATATAATAATAAAATGAGTAAAAAATTAGGATTAAGAAGATTGGAAAAACTGCAATATTTTGGAATGTTATTGCAATTACCAACATTTGTCTGTGTTCATATCAGATGTATTTTACTTCTGTGGTGTTAAAGCTGAATTTAAGCATTGTTACTCCAGTCTTCAGTGTCAGAAATCCTTCCAATATGATGGTTTGATGCTCAAGAAACATTTCTGATTATAATCAATATTGATTTTTTATTTTGTGAAAACCGTGATATATCACAATTCAAAAATATCAGAAATGAGAAATGTTTTTCATTAAAAGTGCTTTTATTCATAAATGACACATTCAATTAATCAAAAGTAAGTATAAAAAATTATTCCAAATAAATGCTGTTAAATGCAGTTTGACATGTCTGTTCATAAAATAATTTAAAGAATCATTACTGATGATCGAGCAGTAATTAAATCTGTCCTAAAACAGAGAAGCAAATAGTTATATTAGAATCATTTCTGAAGGATCATGTGACTCTGGAGCATGTATAAATAAAGCTCAAAGTTTTGCTCTGAATGACAAGAATTAAAAATTTTAAAGTATAAAGTATTTATGAAACAGCTATTTTCAATTGAAATATCTTTTCTGAATTGACATAAACTTGTTTAAATTGTATTTTTGATCAAATAAATGCACCCTTGGTAAGAAGAAGAGGTATTAAGAGTATTAAATTGCACTTTAATAGAGAAAATCAGAAACTACTACTGTTGCTACATTCTATTGTGATTAATCGCTAAAAATGTGAAGGTAAAGTTTACAGTCTCAACTGAATGGAGCTCATTAGTGGAAAAAATGAGATCTGAAAAATTGGGACGAGCATATTAGTTTGAGCAGAGGAGTAAAGGGTCGCTGTGGGGGCAGGTACAATCAGTGTGTAATCAGTGTGGGAAACAGCCTGATGTTGCCCTCATCCCAGTGTTAATGAACGGCACTGCAAGGACTGAAGCGGGGGAAGAGTGACGCCACCATGCCAAACTGCCTGTATTATGAAGGCAATACACTGCAGGTGAAAAGGGTAAAAAGATGAACTAATAATTACTATCATACTTCCCCAGCAGATTAACCACATTCAGATCTCCAAACACCTTTGTATTAACAGTTTTCAATGTTATTTTGAAATATGCAAATGAGCCATTATTTTGTGAAATAGCACAAAATACAGCACAAAAATCTAAACATAGGATTTTCTGAACTTTCTGAACTGAACTGAATGTTTTATTTCTTTTTTTTTTTACATATTAGAGTCAAAGGTTTTTATGGAGGAGATTTTGGGTCTGTTTTCATTACAATATTTTGCAAAATACAACGTTGTGTATAACAGGCAAATTATGTATTAACATTTCCCACTGTAAACAGGTATAAATAACTAAATTGGATGTGTACGTATGGAGAAAACTAATTTTTATAAAACTGTCTTTAGAATTTTATTCATTCATTCATTCATTCATTCATTCATTCATTTTTCTTCAGCTTAGTCATTTATTTATCAGAGGTTGCCACAGTTGAATGAACCGCCAACTATTCCAACAAATGTTTTACACAGCGGATGCTCTTCCAGTACTGGGAAACACCCATACACACATATTTACACAAACTCATACACCTCGGCCAATTAACTTTACAAATTCATGTATACACTTGTCTTTGGACTGTGGGGGAAACCGGAGCACCCACCCCAACACGGGGAGAACATGGAAACTCCACACACAAATGCCAACTGGCCCAGCTCGGACTCAAACCAGTGAGTCTAACCACTGAGCCACCGCGTCATCTGTATAAATATGGACTGTAATTGAAATCTACATTACAGACACAAATTAATAAAGGGCAACAAAAGAAACACTTTAAAGAGTATTTTGGATGTCCTTTACATTAGACCAAAAAAAAAAGTAAATAAAATAGCCAAAAAGGCCTGAATCTAAATTGACTGACGCATGAAAAAAACTTTTTTGCCTGCAGTTTAACCTTTTACCTGCCCCACCAATATAAAAAATGTGTATAGCATTTCTTAACTCCTAATGTCGTTAGTTAACACACTTATTGCATTTTCTTTTCAACACATCCCATGATTTCTAAAATATTAACCTCTACCAAATGGTAGATATGTCGATCTATGGTAAAAGTACTAGAATTAATACATATACAGTTGAAATCAGAATTATTAAACCCCCTTTGAATTTTTTTATTTTTCAAATATTTTCCAAATTATGTTGGCATTATTAACAGAGCAAATACATTTTCACAGTGTGTCTGATAATATTTTTTCTTCTGAAGAAATTTTGTCTAGAATAAAAGCAGATTTTAATTTTAAAAACATATTTTAAGGTCAAAATTATTAGCTCTTTTAAGCTATATTTTTTCGATAGTCTACAGAACAAACCATCGTTATACAATAACTTGTCTAGTTATTGTCTAGTTAAGCCTAGTTAAGCCTTTTAATATCACTTTAAGCTGTATAGAAGTGTCTTGAAAAACATCTAGTCAAATATTATTCACTGTCATTATGGAAAAAATAAAATAAAATTTTAAGTAAAAATAATTTACTTAAAAGTTTATTCAAAAAAATAATAATAATACTAAATCATCTTTTTTTGTTTTAAGTATGCCATAAAACATTTCAGATCCTTATTCAACATGTTTTCTTGTTTTGATTTTTTTTTACAATAAAACCAAAATCAAGTGTAGTAGTGCAACAGGATTATGTTTGTTTGATTATGTTGTAAACCAACAATGCTGTTTGTGTAAAGCATTATTTAAATCAGTCATTCTTTATTCTTTATATAACAGTCATTATTTAAAACAGTCAAAATATGGTCAACCATTTGGTAGAGCAGAAGTTAAAGGAGACAAAATAATAATTAACTCACCATTTACTTGTCCACAAGTGTTTCAAACCTTTGAATTTCTGTTGAACACAATACAGAAGTTTTAAAAATTGTCGAAAGGCTAATATTTTAGAAGTCAATGGTTACAGGTTTGCAACATTCTTCAAATTACCTTTTTGTGTGTGTGTGTGTTTAGCAGAAGAAAGAAACTCTTGAAGGTTTTGAACAAGAGAAGGGTGAATAAATGTCTTTTAGAAGTCATTAATTATGTAAGTTTTGGTTTGTTAGCGCAAAATGGACTGTAACTACCCATTTAGTATTTCATTCATGCCTGCATTTCCATTCATTCGGTGACTAGAAAGTGTACGACTAACACATCATTAACCATAGCAATGAGAGCCGTATGAAGCAAACCCAAGGGAAACGTGTAATGAAGTGCTGCATTTGTACATGTGTATAGTCAACGCCTTTCAGAACCCAGTGTTCTAGTCCAGTAGACGACTTAGAAATTTGTTATAAATCTGGAGATTACCCTAACTAATGATCATAAAGTTTTATTACAATCACTTATATAACCCTGACGATGGGACTCTCTCGAGTATTGTGAGCATTCACAAACTTCTTCACAAAAGCACAAAACTCAATTAGCTGTGAGCATGTTTGCTAATCACACACTGTGCCGGCATCTGTTTCACGGTTTGTGCACAGGAAGAGGAAAGTATAAACAATAGAGAAAAGAGAATAAAACTGAAGAAGACAATGCTAACTGGCTACTGTATACTGTATAGTGCTTTATTGAATAAAAAATAATTATTAATAAAGTACATGGTTTTAGGGAGAGTACTGTTGTATATCTCTCATATTGTCCCAAGTCAGATACTATACACACTTTATATGTTTTATATAAATCGTATTCTGTGACGTGTTCGCTTAAA